AATTACTTAAGGGACTTTTTGAATTAGAATTTTCCAGGAAAAGAAGGTATTAGCATATCGAAATAAAGTAGTTGGGTCAAGCTACAATAATCCCAAAGTTTTATACTTTATCGAAGTGATTAAGAAAACAAATATTTTGCTAATTTTACCACTGAAATTATGTATAACCCTACCTGTTTAGATCACTTTGATAGGCTCTGAATACAGGTCAGACTAAAGCCAAACCCTTGTTAAGCCACAATTTTTCAGAGGAAATGCAACAAATGATAACCACAGCTATGGTTATTGATAGTGTTATAATTTACTTACTTTCGACATGAGAACATCACATTACAACTGAGCATATATGGAATAAAGCTATGTAGGAAGCATAATTATCCCCTATATTTATGGGATGCTCGTGAAAACTTCGATTTGTTGATAAAATTGAGTGTGAAGAGCAGATATGGGGCAGCCATTGACATGTTCTGATTGCCGATGCTGCAGTCGCATAGTAAAGTAAAGTAGATCCCTACCAAGTTACAATGTAAATTTGCATTAGTTTGACAGATTTTTCGAGCTCACATTTTTTGCCAACATGTTCATTCAAGGAGTTGATTAATACCAAATTTAGCCTTCTTTAAAGGAAGAGAAAACGTTGGTTTGAATTTTGCAGATTATTATCGTTAAAGTTGCGTTAACAGGGTTAATTATGCTAGGCATTCAAATTTGGCAAATTGAAAGGTGGTTCCAAATACAATGTTATTTCCTCTTTGACTTTAATTGAAAATTCACCCACCAAAAAAGTCAACTCTCGGCTTTCATGCAACGAGATAAGTCCTACAAGTGTTATACCAGTTAAATCTGATTTTATGGAAATAGTCGTCAATTAAAAAGGCATACTCAGTGGTGATGAGTGGGAGCAACGAAGTTAACGCTTACAAATAATAAAAAATAAAAGTTGGTTACAAGATTTAAAGAGTGATTTTGTTATTTAATTCTTGGAAAGGTTAGTTAGTAAGTGCTAATTAAAATTATATTATTTTCGTAACTCCAGCCATCCACTAATATCTACACTCGGAAGAAGCCGCGTTAACAAACTAATAAATTGACGGTGCCGCATACCCTCTCTGACAAGTCAAAAATTTTACCTCACGCGTTTAATATTGCCAGACAGTGCCAGAGGAAGCAATCATTAATCTTGCTAATGAGGAGGTTCTTCAATACAGTATCATATAAAGTTCCTTGCTGCAGCATAGTGAGAAACACTTTGAAGTGTAACAGTAACAACGGCCGTTTTAGGATGGCATTATCAGGCAGACTTCACATATCCTCGAGGCAAATGCCGACTTACGCTGCATTATTAACCCTTTATCACACCAGTCTGCTAATTAAAAGAGAAGTATGTGCGTTTCTAATGACCTTAAATAAATTATTTTCAAAAGCCAACATTTTCCTCAAAGTACTTTAATAAAGAACCTAAAAGTAGGTGGAAGCATTTTAATGTGGTTATATACTACGTAGAGAAACGATTATGGAAGCACTGTGTTCATTAATTTTGTGAAAGATAGAAGATCTCCATAGATTTGGCGGATTTTGCCTAAGATTTGCAAGCGAGATAATAGTTGTAACTATTTTACTTAGAGAACCTTGAAATATAGACCAGGAGGCTTTAGATAAAGCTTCCTCGCTTGGGTGCTCAAAAAGTCAAAATTGTGCATTTAAAACGAAAGCACAAGTTTTTGTCCCTTTGAAACAAAAGACTTAAACAGCAGTGCAAATGATATTAATTAGGAGTAAATAAATTGAGAGGCTTTAGAAGGGCGACAATTTAATCTTATATGCAACAGCGGCATACATTAAAGAGGATTTGAGAAGAAAGCTCCCACCTAAATATCAACTTTGCTAACATTCAACAAGTTTATTTTCCTAATTGCATGTCATCATATTTAAATGCACTTTTATTATTCGATTCCCAGGTAGGCTACTTAAGCGGAGGCAATCGGTGACCTATGAGAAGTAATAACTCGCAATTATGCATGAGCAAAATGAGACTCATAGGATCAAATAACATTCCTAGACATAATGCAATGTAAAGAAAAGAACGTACATTTAAAATACTAAGCATAATCGTAAATATTGGCGGCTAATTAGTTTGTGGCGGCATTATTAATCTCGGCTAAGCCAAAATTACGATGCCAAATGAACTAAAATGTTTATATTCAAAGTTGGGTATTTAAGCGCTGATTATAAGGTAGGGAAGATTTGTGTGGTTTTCGTT